TAACTGAGATAGGGTCTTGCTCTATTGCCTGGACTAGAGTGCAGTGGCGTCGTCATAGCTCACTGTAGCCTCCAACTCCTGGGCTCCAGCGATCCTCCTGATTCAGCCTCCAAAGTAGCTGGGACTACAGGCCACACCACCATGCCTGGCTAATTTTTTCTATTTTGTTTTTTTAGAGACAGGGTCTCACTCTTGCTCAGACTGCCTCAAGCAATCCTTCTGCTGTGGCTTTCCACAGTGCAATGATTATAGGTGTGAGCTACCAAGCCTGGCCTATTACTGAAATTTTTAAAAAATATTTTCTAGTATATAATCAGACCACTTTATTGTGTAACTTATTCTCTCTCTTCCTTGACTATGTTACTTCTCATTTCTTTTTATCATTATTACAAATGTTTGTTGAAATCAAGTAATATGATAAGAGATACCACAATTTCATGAATGCCTATAGATTCTCCCAAGGTAATAATGGCTCTAGCTCTTGATTTTAAAACTAAAATTGGTTCTGGCCAGGTGGTGGTGGCTCACGCCGTTGTTCCTAGCTCTCTGGGAAGCCAAGGCAGGTGGATAGAGGCGGGTGGATCGTTTGAGCTCAGGAATTCAAGACCAGCCTGAGAGCAAGAGCGAGTCCCCATCTCTATTTAAAAAAAAAAGAAAGAAAATGAAAAACTAAATTGATTCTTCAAGGAAAAGAGAAAGGAAGATATTTTCACTGTACAAGATGAGAACCCACCCCAAAATTTAAAACCACCATGCTCAAAGGAAATGCCATGGAGAATTTGAACTTTCAGATTTAAATAAGTATAATGCAAATTACCAAAATCTGAAAAAGTCCAAATCTAAAACACTTCTGTCCCAAGCATTTGGATAAGAGAATGCCTTGAATTCTGAGCCACAGAAATGTATTATTTTTCTTTCTCTTTTGATAGTAGTCTCACTCTGTCACCTGACTAGAGTGCAGTGGCAACATCATAGATCACAGCAACCTCAACCTCCTGGGCTCAAGCGATTTTCCTGCCTCAGCCTCCCGAGTAGCTGGGAGGACTACAGGCCTGCACTACCACTGCTGGCTAATTTTTCTATTTTTAGAAAATAGAAAAATTTCGGTTGAACTCCTAAGCTCAAGTGATCCTCCTACCTCAGCCTTCTAGAAAGCTAGGATTACAGGCTGTGAGCCACCACACCTGGCCAAAATGTATTATTATTATTATTTTTTTTTCTAAGACAGAGTCTCACTCTTTTGCCCTGGCTGGAGTGTCATGGTGTCAGCCTAGCTCACAGCAACCTCAAACTCCTGGGCTCAGGCAATCCTTCTGCCTCAGCTTCCCGAGTAGCTGGGATTACAGGCATGTGCCACCATGCCCGGCTATCTCTATATATTTTTAGTTGGCCAATTAATTTGTTTCTATTTTCAGTAAAGACAGGGTGTCGCTCTTGCTCAGACTGGTTTCGAACTCCTGACCTTGAGCGATCCTTCCGCCTTGGCCTCCCAGAGTGCTAGGATTACAGGCGTGAGCCACTGCGCCCAGCCCAAAATGTATTATTTCTACAAAAAATAAAGAGCTTACACTAAATAAATATATATTGTTAATCAAATATAAATGCTTCTTATTCCAATTTAAGAGTATTTATCAGGAATATAATTTGGATTATCACTTCTCTAAGCAACCACTGATAAAATTATGTTAATTTTTCTTACCGCTATAACAGACAGTAAAAATTTTTATTTGTTAAACAGACTTGCATTCTTGGGATAAATACTATTGGAACACAACGAATAATTCTTCTAGTATGCAGTATTCCTGATAAAGAAAGAATTTTAAGACTAAAAAGAATATCTAGTATCTTTGTAGATCAAAAACGTCCAAACACACAGAAGAGCCAAAATGCAACAAAATGCAAAACAAAAACCTTTAAAGCTTAAATGATTTCTTTAAGGGCACACTGCTTATTAACAGGTGAGTCCAAAAAAGAGCTGGGTCTCATGACCTCTTGGTGCAACTGACTACTGGATACTAATATGTAATATTCCAGTAACATTTTCTGTTTTTAGAGTTGAGTTTCTGGATGATAATCAATTTATCCCATAGAATACAATTAAAAAGTATGATTTTTTTGTTCTAAGTTTAAAAAATAACTTAATGTAATATAAAGGATAATCACTTCTCTAATGATAAAATTATATTAGTTTTTCTTACTGCTATAATAGACTGTAAAAATTTTTCTTTGTTAAACTGACTTGCATTCTTGAGATAAGTACTATTTGAACGCAATGCATAATTTTTCTAGTATGCAGTATTCCTGATAGAGAATCTTAGGGCTAAAAAGAATATCTAGTATTTTTGTGGATCAAAAACATCCAAACACACAGAAGAGATAGAGAAAGAAAGATACTAGATATTCTCTATTGTACTTCGACATCTTTTTTTTCTTTTTTTGAGACAGGGTCTTGCTCTGCCACCCAGGCTAGGGTGCAGTGGCCCAATAACAGTTTACTGCAACTGGTGACTCCTGGGATCAAGTAATCCTCTAATCCTCTAGCATAAGCCTCCTGAGTAGCTGGGGTTATAGGTGTGGGCCACTACACCCAGCTAATTTTTGTTTGTTTTGTTTTTTGCAGAGATTGGGGAGGTAGGGGGAATCTCCCTATGTCACCCAGGGTAGTCTCAAATTCCTTGCCTCAAGCGATCCTCTTGCCTTGGCCTCCCAAAGCACTGGGATTACAGGTGGTAAGCCACTGTGCCCAGCCATACTTCAACTTTTTTTTTTAATTCTATTATGAGCCCATTAGGGAGTCAGTTCTTTTCTCTTTCTTTCTTTCTTTTTTTGAAACATTTCTTATTTCATCCTAATACTAGATTATTTCATTGCTTTTTTGTTGATCTCTTTGGGCATTTATTGTTATAGTCAGCTATTTCAAATACATTGATAATATAACTCTGCATATTGTCTCTTAAAAACCATGGTTTCTATTTCTGACTTTTATCTTTTATCAATTATGCCAATTACTTATTGATTTTTATTGTATTTTCAAAGCTCAAACCTTTTAGTTCCTATTATTTTTACATTTTACTTCTCTGATCTTCCCAAATCCAATGCACACTATTTAATAAATGTCCATTAAATTATAAAGTTTGGTATCCCTTTTTGTCTTGTTAATATGAATCTCTAAAGTCTATTTCCTTTAATACATGCATCCCAATTTTTAAGATACATTATCACTATATTTTCATTTTCAAATATATTCTTATTATATGCACATTTCTACAGCTCGCTGTAGTCTACAATACTATAAGGTACATCTCACATTTGAATTCTACAATCTAATATTTCTATTTTCAGACAGTGGATCCATGACTCAAACCCAGGTTTTCTGATGTCAGATCTTGTGCTTTTTCTATTATGCTATGCTAACTTTCAATGTCCAATCTGACTCACGTGTTAAGTAAGCATTTAAAAATTATCTCAGATGTTCTCACTTATAAGCGGGAGCTATGCTATAGGTATGCAGGGGCATACAGAGTGGTACAACGGACAATGGAGACTGCTTCTGAGTCTCCTGCCTTCTGCAGGAGAGAGAGAAGGGAATGAGGGACGAAAAATCATCTACTGGGTGCAATGTAAACTAAAAACTCAGACATCACCGCTATACAATTCATCCATGTAACCAAAACCTACTTGTATCCCTAAATCTATGGAAATAAAAAAATATATATATAAAAAAGAAAACCTAAAGAAAAATCTCAGAAATGAATCTTTTATTAGATGTTTTCATCATTTGTTTATTCAGACTTTTATGTATAAGTGAACATGATATTAAATTTTTAATTAATTATCTTAATAATTTTCCAAATGTGAATGGGTATAAACACATTAAATAAATAAATAAATAAAATTTAAAAGTCGCTATGTCCATGTAGAATATCACTTTTTATAAGAGTTGGTGAATTAAAAATAAAAATATATATTCAAAATTTCCATTTATTTGTTCCTAGGTATATTAAATTAGCTTCTTTAATTTTACCTTAACAAAATAAATATAATTGTAAGCATGTAAAGTTTACATTTTATAGCTAGAGAATTTTCTTTTCCACAACTGTTGTCAATTAAGTTTTCAACGTAAGCTTCTATCTGAGTACTTTCTACCTATGGGGCTTATTCAACTCTTTAAAAAAGCCCACCTAAAAATCTCATGGATAAAGAAGGAATTGTATTAAATGAATGGTTCCCAAGCAAGAGTCTTTACACATCTCAGTTTCTTTCTTTTTTTTTTTTTTTGGGACAGAGTCTCACTTTGTTGCCCAGGCTAGGTGAGTGCTGTGCATCAGCCTAGCTCAGCAACCTCAAACTCTGGCTCAAGCATCCTACTGCCTCAGCTTCCGAGTAGCTGGGACTACAGCAGTGCACACATGCCCGCTAATTTTTTCATATATAGTTTAGTTTGCAATTAATTTCTTTCTATTTATAGTAGAGACGGGGTCTGGTTTGCTCAGGCTGGTTTTTAACTCCTGACCTTGCAGATCCGCTGCTCGCCTCCCAGAGGGCTAGGATTACAGGCGTGGGCCACCACGCCCAGCCTAACATCTCAGTTTCTATGAAATAGGAAACAATCTTGTAACTTCTAATTTTCAAAGAGCCTAACAAAATTCCTGTTTACTTACATCAGGTTGATAGACTTACTAAAACATCAAGTTCTTTGCTTTAGGCCAGATTATAGTGAAATAAAAAAAGTATAAATTTTTAAATGTCATTTGACTTAATAGTGAAAAAAAATTCAAGACATGAAAACCAAGGGCAGTGCAAAGGCTGGGTAGAAACCAATAAATCCAAAAGTCTTGAGGAGGACAGCTCAGGGCTTTTCCAGAGCACCATCTGGTGGACATCTGGCAATTTTCACCAATATCAATAAGGAGACTAACGCAAGAATCTATAGGTTGGTTACTCAAAAATCCTGTGCCAGCTCTCTAAAGTTGCTGCCATCATTAGCTGACTACACGTACCTGGATGAGGTCCAAGATCCCAAGTTCACTTTCTGACGAATCCACACAAAATACAAAGTAGAGGGTAGCATAGTGTCGGTAAATCAGTTTGTAGTCAGAGCCACCAATCAAACTGTGGAAGATGGGAAACATTTAAATGCTTATATCTTAGACTTATGTGTCACCCAGGCGAGTACAGTGGCATGATCATAGCTTATTGCAACTTCAAACCCCTGGGCTCAAGGAATCCTCCTGCCTCAGCTTCCCGAGTAGCCAGAACAACAGAAACAAGCCACCATGCTTAGCTAAATTTTAAATTTTTTTTGGTAGAGATGAGGTCTCCCTATGTTGCCCAGGCTGATCTTGAACTCCTGGCCTCAAGCAATCCTCCTGCTTCAGCCTCCCAAAGTGCTAGGATTACAGGTGTGAGCCACCATACCTGGCCATAGATGCCTGTATCTTAATTAAACACATCAAAGAGCAACCTTATGCCAAAAAATGAAAAAGGGCTCAATAGAAAGGGGAAAGCCAAATGCTAGACGCAGGCCATATCTACAAAGTGAATGGCAACCAAGTTTGGCATAGGTACCTAAAGCCACCTTACCTCAAATTTTCTGCTGCCTATTCTCCCAAGGCCCAACATCTAAATATTGATATTTAGATACTACTCATCAGATATTACTCATATCTGAAGCACAATAATTCAGCGGCTTCCCACAGAGAATCAGGTCTCTCCCTGAGCAGATCATGCTAAGACTAGTTCAACTTGCATTAGGCACCCACTTGACACTGTCAGAGAAGCAATAATGATGAAGGCCGCCCAAAAATGCATATATGGGGAGAAAACTGAAGCTGACAGTTTACCTTCCACCCTCCAAGAAGTTACAAATGTTGTCATCCCGCTTGAGGACTAGATGGAAAGTCTCTCGAACAATCTGCTAACCAAGGCAAGGTGAAGAGGCGGGTGAATCGTTGAGCTCAGGATTCAAGACCAGCCTGAGCAAGAGCGAGTCCCATCTCTATTTAAAAAAAAAGAAAGAAAAGAAAACTAAAATTGATTCTTCAAGGAAAAGAGAAAGGAAGATATTTTTCACTGTACAAGATGAGAATCCACCCCAAAATTTAAACACCATGCTCAAAGGAAATGCCCATGGAGAATTTTGAATTTTGAACTTTCAGATTTAAAATAAGTATAATGCAAATATACCAAAATCTGAAAAAGTCCAAATCTAAAACACTTCTGGTCCCAAGCATTTGGATAAGAGATATGCCTTTTGAATTCTGAGCCACAGAAAATTATTTTTCTTTCTTCTTTGATACGTAGTCTCACTCTGTCACCTGACTAGAGTGCAGTGGCATCATCATAGATCACACGCAACCTCAACCTCCTGGGCTCAAGCGATTTTCCTGCCTCAGCCTCCCGAGTAGCTGGGACTACAGCCTGCACTACCACTGCTGGCTAATTTTTCTATTTTTAGAAAATAGAAAAATTTCGGTTGAACTCCTAAGCTCAAGTGATCCTCCTACTCAGCCTTCTAGAAAGCTAGGATTACAGGCCGTGACCACCACACCTGGCCAAAATGAATTATTATTATTTTTTTTTTTCTAAGACAGAGTCTCACTCTTTTGCCCTGGCTGGAGTGCCATGGTCGGCCTAGCTCACAGCAACCTCAAACTCCTGGCTCAGGCTATCCTTCTGCCTCAGCTTCCCGAGTAGCTGGGATTACAGGCATGTGCCACCATGCCGGCTATCTCTATATATTTAGTTGGCCAATTAATTTGTTTCTATTTCAGTAAAGACGGGTGTCGCTCTTGCTCAGACTGGTTTCGAACTCCTGACCTGAGCGATCCTTCGCCTTGGCCTCCAGAGTGCTAGGATTACAGGCGTGAGCCACGCGCCCAGCCCAAAATGTATATTTCTACAAAAAATAAAGAGCTTACACTAATAAATATATATTGTTAATCAAATATAAATGCTTCTTATCCAATTTAAGAGTATTTATCAGGAATATAATTTGGATATCACTTCTCTAAGCAACCACTGATAAAATTATGTTAATTTTCTTACCGCTATAACAGACAGTAAAAATTTTATTTGTTAAACAGACTTGCATTCTTGGGATAAATACTATTGGAACACAACGAATAATTCTTCTAGTATGCAGTATGCCTGATAAAGAAAGAATTTAAGACTAAAAGAATATCTAGTATCTTTGTAGATCAAAAACGTCCAAACACACAGAAGAGCCAAATGCAACAAAATGCCAAAACAAAAACCTTAAAGCTTAAATGATTTCTTTAAGGGCACACTGCTTATTAACAGGTGAGTCCAAAAAGAGCTGGGTCTCATGACTTCTTGGTGCAATTGACTACTGGATACTAATATGAATATTCCAGTAACATTTTCTGTTTTTAGAGTTGAGTTTCTGGATGATAATCAATTATCCCATAGAATACAATAAAAAGTATGATTTTTTTGTTCTAAGTTTAAAAATAACTTAATGTAATATAAAGGATAATCACTTCTCTAATGATAAAATTATATTAGTTTTTCTTACTGCTATAATAGACTGTAAAAATTTTTCTTTGTTAAACTGACTTGCATTCTTGAGATAAGTACTACTTGAACGCAATGCATAATTTTCTAGTATGCAGTATCCTGATAGAGAATCTTAAGGCTAAAAAAATATCTAGTATCTTGTGATCAAACATCCAACAAAAAAAAAAAAAAAAAAAAACAAAACATCAACACACAGAAGAGATAGAAAGAAAGATACTAGATATTCTCTATTGTACTTCGACTCTTTTTTTTCTTTTTTGAGACAGGCTTGCTCTGCCACCCAGGCTAGGGTGCAGTGGCCCAATAACAGCTTACTGCAACTGGTGACTCTGGATCAAGTAATCCCTAATCCTCTAGCCATAAGCCTTCCTGAGTAGCTGGGGTTATAGGTGTGGGCCACCTACACCCAGCTAATTTTGTTTGTTTTATTTGCAGAGATTGGGAGGAGGGGAATCTCCTATGTGCACCCAGGGTAGTCTCAAATTCCTTGCCTCAAGCCGATCCTCTTGCCTGGCCTCCCAAAGCACTGGGATTACAGTGGTAAGCCACTGTGCCCAGCCATACTTCAACTTTTTTTTTAATTCTATTATGAGCCCATTAGGGAGTCAGTTCTTTTCTCTTTCTTTCTTCTTTTTGAAACATTTCTTATTCATCCTAATACTAGATTATTCATTGCTTTTTGTTGATCTCTTGGGCATTTATGTTATAGTCAGCTATTTCAAATACATTGATAATATAACTCTGCATATTGTCTCTTAAAACCATGTTTCTATTTCTGACTTTATCTTATCATTATGCTAATTACTTATTGATTTATTGTATTTTCAAAGCTCAAACCTTTTAGTTCCTATTATTTACATTTTACTTCTCTGATCTTCCCAAATCCAATGCACATATTTAATAAATGTCATTAAATTATAAAGTTTGGTATCCCTTTTGTCTTGTTAATATGAATCTCTAAAGTCTATTTCCTTTAATACATGCATCCCAATTTTAAGATACATTATCACTATATTTTCATTTCAATATATTCTTATTATATGCACATTTCTACAGCTGCTGTAGTCACAATACTATAAGGTATCATCACATTTGAATTCTAACAATCTAATTCTATTTCAGACAGTGGATCCATGACATCAAACCCAGGTTTTCTGATGTAATCTTGTGCTTTTTCTATTATGCATGCTAACTTTCAATGGCCAATCTGACTCACTGTTAAGTAAGCATTTAAAATTATCTCAGAGTGTTCTCACTATAAGCGGGAGCTATGCTATAGGTATGCAAGGGGCATACAGAGTGGTACAACGACAATGGAACGTTCTATTCGCCTGCAGGAGAGAGAGAAGGAATGAGGGACGAAAAATCATCTACTGGGTGCAATGTAAACTAAAAACCAGACATCCACCGCTATATACAATCATCCATGAACCAAAACCTACTTGTATCTCCTAAATCTATGGAAAAAAATATATATATAAAAGAAAACCTAAATAAAAATCTCAGAATGAATCTTTATTAGATGTTTTCATCATTTGTTATTCAGACTTTATGTATAATGACATGATTTAAATTTTAATTAATATCTAAATTTCCAAATGTGAATGGGTATAAAACATAAAATAAAAAATAATATAAATTTAAAAGTCGCTATGTCCATGTAGAACATCACTTTAAAAGATTGGTGAATAAAAATAAAATATATATTCAAAATTCCATTTATTTGTTCCTAGTTATATTAAATTGGCTTCTTTAATTTTACCTTAACAAATAATAAATAATGGTAGCATGTAAAGTTTACATTTATAGCTAGAAATTTCCTTTTCCACAACTGTTGCAATTAAGTTTCAATAAGCTTCCTATCTGAGTACTTTCTACTATGGGGCTATTCCAACTCATTTAAAAAGCCACCTAAAAATCTCAGGAATAATGAAGGAATGTATTAAATGAATGGTTCCAAGCAAGAGTCTAGAGTCTTTACACATGTCAATTTCTTTCTTTTTTTTTTGGAGGACAGAGTCTCACTTTGTTGCCCCAGGCTAGAGTGAGTGCCTTGGCATCAGCCTAGCTCACAGCACCTCAAACTCCTGGGCTCAAGCATCCTACTGCTCAGCCTCCCGAGTAGCTGGGAGTACAAGCATGCACCACCATGCCGGCTAATTTTTTCTATATTATATATTAGTTTGCCAATTAAATTTCTTATCTATTTATAGTAGAGGACGGGGGTTCTTGCTCTGTTCAGGCTGGTTTGAACTCCTGACCTCAAGCAATCCGCCTGCCTCGCCTTCCAGGAGGCTTAGGTACAGGCGTGAGCCACCCGCCGGCCTAACATCTCAGTTTCTATGAAATAGAAAACAATCTTGTACAACTTCTAATTTCAAGAGCCTAACAAAATGCATTGCTTTACTTACAAAGTTGCATAGATTACTAAAACATTCAATTGTCTTGCTTGTAGGCCAAGAAGGTTAATAAGTGAAAAAAAAAAGTATAAATCTTAAATGTCATTGGACTTAATAGTGAAAAAAAATTCAGACAGACCAAGGGGCAGTGCAAAGGCTGGGTAGAAACCAATT